GCCCCGCCCCCTGGCGCTCCCCCCGCACCTGCAAGCAGGACCGCAGCAGCAGCAGCAGCAGCAACAGCGGGAGCAGCCGCGCCACCTCACACCATCTTCGCCCTCGTGGAGGCCGGGCCCCGCCCCCGCGCCTCTCCATTGGCGGGCGGGCCACGTCCGTCGGTGGCATGCAAATAGCCGGAGCATGCTTACGAGCCGGGATTGGATAGAGCGTGGAACGCCTCCCTAGGATTGACAGACGGTAGGGCCAAAGCTGGGCCGCCTGGCTGGCAAGCCCCGCCTCTTTGGTACCCAGGTGTGCCTCCCTGCATCCCTCCGCCCTCAGCATCCCTCGTCCCCTCCCAGGGACGCTGCGGCGGCGTCGCTCCCTGCGTCTTGTCCGAGATGTGTCGGGGCTGCTCTAACCACGCTTCCCCCCAACCCCTGGGAGAACGCTCTGGGAAAGGTGGGGAGAGGGGGCTTGCTTCCCTGGAAACCAAAACCTCCACAGCACCCACAAAAGAGAGAAACGGGCTGCGGGGGGGGGGTTAAATTCTGGTAACAGGATGATAATGCAACCAGCACTTTGACTGATCATTGCTGGGGTTAACAATGCCATGGGCATTCAAAAACCCATTGGCAATGCCCTCTTTTTCTTGCTTCCTTTGCTGTCCTGAAAAGCTGGAGTTCCAAAAAGGTGCATTGGCGAGCTGCGGTCCACACTCTTCAATAACATCCTTCTCTGTATCTATTTAGATTAAGCATCCTTCAGTCTCGAGAGACTGTGGTAACGTGCTCTGTATGGAGGACTTGGAACAGCGTCTAGCGTGGCTGAGAAGGCCAATTTGAGAGTGACAATCTCTTCCACACTGAAGACAGATCCAATCTGTCCCCTGTCCAGCTCCCCGATTTTGCTGCTTTCGTGATGGCCTTGGCCTGCTGGACAAGGGTCTCTTCAAATTGGGAGAGGCCGTGATGCACTGCTTGCCTCCAGGCTGAACGCTCAGAAGTCAGGGTTTCCCATCTGTTGAGGTCCATTCCTAAGGCCTTCAGATTCCGCTTGCAGATATCCTGGAGGCAAAATCAAAGCCCTACCTCTGCAGCCAGATACCTAAATCACTGAGACTTGCACCCAGCTGAACTAAATTATGCTATTTATTTTATAATTTATATTAATTATAATGTTCTTAGATTACTTAATGAATTTATTGACATGCATGCTTTCTTGCTGAATTTATTGTGCATTATTGTTTCAATGTGAACAGAGTGTTGTAGTGGTGCCAGATACATAAGTATGTTCTGATAATGTACCTCCATGCAGCCTTGCCCCCAGCTCCATGAAAAAGTTCATGGCTCATCTTCTCCCAAGTTTAGCTTTGCAACATCAATCCTGTGAGGTAGGTCATGTTGAAAAGTGTGATCATTCAGTGAGTCTCCTGGCTCAGCACAGACCTGAACTTTAGTTTCACAAATCCCAATCCAAAATTCCCGTTGCTGAGACACTGGTTTCTAGGTAAACATGCATATCTTAGCCTGGGTAAACTTGCTTCTGCTGAAAATCACTAGATGAAGGTTGTCCATTGGTCAGCATCAGTTTATTGGTCTGCTCAAAGAGCAGAACTCAGCTCTTGTGTTTATCTGGGATAGAAGTTAAGGCACAACAAATGTGTAAATGTGCTCATATTTTGAGAGAGGATGGGAGTGATATCCAGTTTAAGTTTTCTTCCTTTTGGAGGTGCAGCTGCATTTATGACTTTTAAGCTTTAAGCTCAAGGTTTTCTCCTGAATCTCTTCATTCTAATCTTCATATCAGTATTTTAGGGTGTTATCACATTGAAGGTTGTGCTGAGACCGACATCAGCTTTGTTAATACAGTAACATGTCTTTCCTATTACCAAAGCAAGGCTCTCTTTGTATCGTTATCATCACAATAACCCCGCCAGGTCGGTCTGAGAATAACCGCCTCAGTGGGTACCAGTCTCTGAGCATTAATTGAAGAATGTGGATATACCCTAACTACTTCCTCACAGCAGAAACTGAATTAGGTACCTGGAGGCAATAGGATACAGTGGTTAGAGTTGCACATTGGAGATCTGGGTTTAGGTCCTCACTGGTCCATGGTATTTAATAGGTGGTACATCATCTTCTCTGCCTTATGTACCTCACAAGGTTGTTATGAGGTTTGAAGAAAGGAAGCACCAGGTACATTACAGGGCCCTTGGTCCTTCTCAATGGGATACAGGTTTGGAGCCACAGTTGACAAAACAAAAATGGATGCTTAAAGTTTATTCGGTATTATAGCACCAAGCAAATGTGGCTACTGTGGTTTTAGCAGTCATAAGTAATAATGGTGGAAAGGAAAGATTGTACACCAGCATCCGCTTTGCTAAAGAGAAAAGACACCATCCTAATGCACAGGATCAGCAAGGATAGAAAAACTTGGCAACTCAGCCGTGTTTCTCCTCCGAGCGTCTCTCCGTCCTTGTTCCCGCGCGCGGGCTTTTTTTGCCCTCCCGAGGCCCCGCCCCCTGAATCCGTTCCCAAGGCAACGCCGATGCTACAACAGCTGCCGCCACTCTAGCCTGGGTTGTACCAATTGCGAAGCTTCTGAGGGGGGGAAGAGAAAAAGAGCGAGAAAGACGAGGAGGAAGCCAGGGCGAGAAGAGGCAAAGAAGTAAGGAGACGTATTTTTAAAGCTAATATTGAGGTTTATCTGTGTCGGAGAAGTCGGTGCCTAAGGGGAAACTTTTTTTCCGCTACTCTTCTCCCCCTCCTGGAGGGGAAGGTTCGATCCCAACAAGATGGCGGTGGTGAGCCGAAAGAAGGCGGGCGGGAGAGTGGCAGGTAAAAGTGGGGGCGGGAGAAGAATTGGGGAGCGCACCCCCTCTGGCCCTTCTTATTGGGAGAAGCCATGAGAGGAGGGCGCGGATTGGCTGCCTCTTTCCCCCTCCCTTGACCGCTTTGGCGCCTCTTTCTTTTGTGTCCGTGGCGCTGATTGGGTGGCTGCAGAATTCCCTCAGGAGCCGCGGGGCCACGTTTTACCGCCTTTTCTCGATGGTTCTGGAAAGTGCTCAGCCTCCCTTATTTTTGGCCTTTTAATTCTTCAATTAATACTCAGCGTCCATTGGGGAGGATGGTTAGGCTTTCCTCTGAAGAAGGAGGGTGTCTTTGGTTGAGTAGCGCTTGTGAGGAAATGTGCCTCTGAGCATGTGGAGAGTTCGCCTTTTCCCGCCCTTTTTAATGCACTGGGGTCGAAATTAAGGCAGGAATTCCCACAGACTTTAATAGAGTTGGTTCTGTGGGAAGAGGTATTTTATTTGGTCCCTGTTGGTAGCTCTCAGGACGGCCAAATTAGTATTATTTTTATCCTGCCTTTTTTCCCTTAAAAGGTGGCCAGTAAAATGAGCTTGAAGATAACAGGGAAAAAAATTAAAACGTTTAAAATTGAAAGCTGTTTTCATAACTTTTGGGCTTTAAAAGGCTTGGCGAAATACAGGCTGAAATGTTGCTAGCTCAGTGGAAATCCCAACAGACCTTTATATAGTTAATTCTCTGGAACGGAGTATCGTATTTGGCCCCTGTTGGTAGCTCTCAGGATGGCCAATGTTTATTTTATTTAAAATATTTCTACCCCATTTTTCTCCTTTAAAAAAGGACCCAACGCCACCAATAAAATTGACCATCAAAAACAGGAAAAATATGTAAAATGTTTAAAATTAAAAGCTGCTTTCATAGTTTCTGGGCCTCAAGACTTGAGAAAGTACAGGTTAAAATGTAGCTGCCCTGTGAAGAACCCCTGGCTGTATGCAGGCTCTTTTGGACTATATTATCTATAATCCCCAGTCTAGCTGTGTTATGTGAAACTGAAGGTAATTGTTGGCTTTAAGCCTGTATGTTACTTTGCTTTGAAACAATGTTTTTATGTTACTTTATTTCCGGAGAGATTTTCAAGTGATAAAAGTAATATGGTACATATTTATTTATTTAAAATATTTATATACTGCCATTCTCCTGAAGGTGGCTTACACAGTACCAAAAGAAACAAAGTTAAAAGCTAGATAATAATTTATTACAATGTTAAAAGAGCATTAAATAGATACTGTATATTGAAACTCCTAATAAGAAGCAATATTTAAAAACAAAACAACAGAATAAAATAGTCCCCTTTAAAAATCGCATTGGTCAACCTGCAGTTTAAAGGAAAGCCTACCTGAAGAGAAAAGCTTTTGGTTATTATATGCTGTTTATAAAACATAATAAAAATGCCCCCTCCATTTCCCAAAAGAATATGTTGAAATTATTTTTTCCAGTTATTCTTCCACATGTTTGACAGGATAAAAAAGTGCTTTCTGTAGTCTCTAAAAAATGAACAGAGAACAGGAACGGCACCCTGTTGAGACTCAAGAGTATATTTCAAAGCTCGTGCTGGGATGGTTAAGCAATGTACTGTATTGTGGAACCCAAAAGATTTTTTTTCCTGCGGTAACACTTTCCTGTTGGTGAGTGTCAATAAACGCATCACCATAATTGTAGATTTTTGGATATTTCTTCCGGTCACCAAAAATGTTTTCCTATGAGTGGATACATGTGTATATTTTTCTTTACAGAAATGAACAACCAGATCCAATAACAACACCAGAGAGAACATTGGAACTGGCCTGTTAGCAGCAGTTGAACACCAGATTGGCAAACTGCTACTGCCTGGCATTCAAGAATTGCAAATCTTTTATTGAAAAGACTATTAGAAAAAACTTTTTTTGGAAGTCTTTTTACCCTGCCCTTCTTCTATAAAAGGAACCGAAGTGGCTTACATCATTAAAAACATAGTTTGAAGAGCTATAAACAGTAAATTATTCAAACATTAAAAAGAATTTAAAATGTTAGGTAAAAGTGATACTAAAACAGATTTAAAAGCAATAAAGAATACAAACCATTGCATTTTAAAACCCTTGTTAGTCTCTAAAGAAAGGGCAAGAGATTTCACTGAACATGCTGACCTGGTATGCATCATTGAGACTGGATACCAATGCAGGTGAGGAGCTTAAGCCAAATCTTCATACAGGCCTTGCAAGTTTGCAAAAATTACCAACATTGCAGAGTTGGGTCTTGGTGTAAGTAGCAGCAGCCTGCTGAGGGCTGTATGTTGAGTGCAGGGCCAGCATTAAGATGAATGCACATAAACTGTTTTTGGATGCAAGATTTAGAAAGAAATGGCGGTTTTGGAGATTCATCATTGCTATTTTTAGCAGTGCTGATTTTCCGTTTCTAGTACAGTCTGCTTAGTCTGCTGTAGTCCCCCGCCACCCCCACCCCCGGGCTAGGATAACATCTTGGAGGTGCTTTCTTTTCATGAATTAACTTCCTTCACATTAGGATGAGCTGGGTAATGGCTTGGCTGTCCTTCCTGCAGTGGTTTGGACCAGATGATTCTTAGGGCTCTACAAAGATTTGTGACTCTGATTAGCAAGGATCAGAAATGTTGTTGCAGATGCTGTGGTTATGGCTAGCCAGGGTGCTCTTTTAGTATTTTCCTTAGTGCCATGTTTTTCCCTGATTTGGCTGCTGAGCTTCACCAAGTTATGCAGTAGTAAGCAGCTTCCACCTTGCTAGGGTCATAGGTTTCAGTCCTAATCAAACTTAACTGAGAGTAAGATAGAATCGTATTTATTGTAAACTGCCCAGAATAGTATTTTGTCACTAATGGAAGTGGCATACAAATCAATAAATTAATTCAGTTTGCTCAGAATTGTTTTGAAACAATCCATACATGTCTGTGTGCTCACATGTGGACATAGGTCAAACTATATGTTAAAGGGACTTTATTATCTGCCATCAACCTGGTGTCCTGTCCATGATAGAATTTTCTCAGTGACACTTGCCCCAGCAATCAAACTTGCAAATTAAGCCCATGTTTACTTTTCACAAAACAAGGCACACTACATGCAAGATATAAATGTGGAAACCCCCATGCTAAGGCAGACATTTGTCAGTACCACGTGTCTTACGTAGTTTGATTCTCCATATGCATTATCCTAAAGATACAAGAAGGGGAACAGCAAAAAAGAAAGGTAACCTGGCTCGTATATTTTTACATTGCAGTGGAAGAGAAGAATCACAAGACGGGTCAAATGTACATTAACAGATTCTGTCATCTCTTCCCTAGAAGAAGGAGATTGCTTTACATTGCTCAAGTGACCATTGCCCATATATTCTTTCAGCAAAGTTTAAGCAGCTTAGCTTTGCAGTGTCATGGCAAGATGAGATGTTCCACAAGCTTCGAAGGCCTTGGATTGAACTCTTGTTTCTGTTGTTTCTGTTTTCCAGTTTCAACCTATAGACCATGAAAGAAGCAGGACTGTTCTTTCCTGTGAGCTGGCTAAAAGGGGTAACGTATCAGTCTTCAGCTCTCAGTCAGGCAGAAAAGCCTTTCTATGCTGACTCATTCACACGTGGGAACTTCAGCCCATTGCACCTGATTCTGGGCTGGTTTCTGGACACAAATAATAGATTTATAGCTATGCTCATTCTGTCATCTCAGCTGTCTTACTGGTTAAATTGGGTCCCACTAAATTGAAAAGTGGTTCCCCCTATTAAACTTCCCAAAGGCATCTCCTCTCGCCCCGTGTTGATTCAAGTCCCCAACTGCTTGTTCTCATCCAGTTTAAAAGCCAAGATAGTATTATTTCTTTTGAATAGAGAGAGGCATAACACCCAACTGTTCTACAATATATCATCAGAACTTCATAATATTCCTTAACATCCATTGGGAATGATCTGGGGGGGGGGGGTAGAAATTTCTAAATGTGCTGGATTGTTCTAAAATTACTGTTTTCAGACAACAGATGGTAGTGATGTTTGTATGAAATGTATTTCTAAATAGTCCTGCATATTTAAAAAGCAAACATGGTATAGTACTTTCAATTTATACCAGTGAGAAAGGATTTAATGTATTATTTTTAAGTTGACTAAATTTAACTTAATGCTGTTAATTTGGTGCACAAACTGAACTCAGATATGCATATCCACATTCCAGTAGGTCAGGGGCCAGAGTGTTACCAGGATCGAATACTACAGTTTATTGATACCTGGATGTCAGTGACTGAAGTGAAATGGTATCCTTGTTTTAGGCAGCAAGATGGGAGAATGGCAAAGGACCTTTGTACAAAATTTGGCTGTCCCGCCGCACAACCAGAGGAGACGAAAATTGTCACCCCAAGAATCAACAGCATTTCAGTGTGTCCTGAAGCAGGTGGAGGGGAATATCTTGAAGCAGGTAAAACTGAAATTGTGCATATCCCAAAGTACATTTCAATATTTTAAGTTGGATTCAGATTGCATGCACTTACAAGAAATGAGATTTCCTTTGTATTAGGAGGAACCTTGCAATATCTGGAACTTTTTGATAGTAGAATGGATTATCTTGGAAGGTAGAGGACTCTCCTTCATTGAAAGGCTTTAGGCAGAGAATGGGTGACCATCTGCTTTAGCTGTGGGGTTTCCTACATTCCCCAGTGGTTGTACTAGGTGACCCTTGGGGTATTTTTGGGACAGAGATGGGAATCTGGTATCTATCCATCCAGTAATATTTCTGTGTAAAGACATGTAGAACTTCCTTTTCCAAATAAAACTCTGAGCAGCATGTTGTCACAATTGGATCTCCTTGCTGGCAGCAATAGCTGTGTTGGGGTGTTAGGAACTGAGCCATGGTATCCAGGGGCCATTTCTTTTGGCAGAAATGCGTCTTTACAGAAAGTCAAGATGGAGAAGGTGTGGTTTATAGGCCTAATCTGGCCCCTGAGCTGCTGCCCCCCACTCCACAATGTGCTGGAAACGTATATGGAATACTATGTAAATGTCATTTTCTTGTCCTGGAAGCACCACAGATTGGTGATTTTATTCTAAAATGGGGTACAGGTAACTTCAAATTACTCAACGTTAAGGAAAATAAAACAAACAACCAAACCCAGAGAGGAACTGTGAAAATAGGAAGTGATAAGAAAAATCTTGTTTGGGGAGGATAGAATGGCCCCAGTCATTCTTATGCTCTAGGTCCCCCCAAACATTCCCATTCTTAATGTAGCTGATGATTTTCCATCAGAGATTCAAACAAGGAGTATCACCTCCTGTAGAGGTTTCTTGGCTTAAGGAGCTTGTTTGAATGTAGTGGTTCCTATTGTGATTTTTATTTATTTAGACTCAATGGCATTTCCTGTATATGGACTGCACTATACAAAGTTAGAATATACAGTGGTGCTTCGCTTAACAATGATAATCCGTTCCAGGAAAATCGCCATTAAGTGAAAACATCGTAAAGCGAAAATAAAAAACCCATTGAAATGCATTGAAACCCGTTCAATGTGTTCCAATGGGGTAAAAACTCACAGTCCAGCGAAGATCCTCCATATAGCGGCCATTTTCGCTGCCTGTATAGCGAGGAATCCATCCCTAAACACAGCGGGGAGCCATTTTAATCACCTGGTGGCCATTTTGAAACCACTGATCAGCTGTTAAAAAAACATCGCAAAGCAAAATTCCCCCATTTAGACCATCGTTTTACGATCGCAGTTGTGTTTCACAAAAAGATCCTCTTAATCGGGGCAATCGTTAAGTGAGGCACCACTGTAAATGCTTTCAGATTATGAACACATGCCACAGTCCCCCTTCCCCCGCCACCACATATATACTGTATACACATGACTTTATCTATTGGCTTTTTCTTCCATAATCTATTTCTCTTTTCTCGATCCATCTAGAAAAGGTAGGGATGGCAGTGATGGGGTGACCTGTTTTAGGGAGAACCTTCTTTTTGTTAAGCGAGTCTCTTCTGGGGTGGACAGGTAGATACATGTAGCACTGAACATTTTGAGCAGTCCTCTTTTTCTGCACCCTTCTTCAAGGGGTGATTGACTTCTCACTCCCAAATCCTGATCTGCAAACAAGATGTGAAAGCATCGTCCTGCCAATCTCTAGCCTAAAGCATTCAGTGGGTTAAAATGCTGGGCTGTTAAATAATGCAGAACAACTGAATCTTTAATAGCATGCTTGGTAATATCTTTATGCTATAATCCTGCGCTTGCCAGTGGTATTACGAGTGAGGACTAATTGGGAGCTGACAGTGCTAAATCAGAAATGCCCATGGTTGACATACTGGACTAGGTCTCCTGTGTGATTGTAACAATGCTCACCATTTCTGTTTTAAGGCAAAGAAGCAGTGTGATGCCATTTGTGTTTAAATTACTTATTTCGTATCCATTTCCTCAAAAAATAGTAGCTTCTCTTCTTATGGGAGTTGTTCACTGGGAGCATGTGACACCAGCGCTTCCGGTATCTGCTCATTTCCGTGCCATAATATAGGCGCATTTCAAAGTATTCTGGATGACCTAGAAAGCTACCAGCAGCCTAAACACAGTATCCAAGATCAGGATATTCCACCATGACTTTTGACATTGACTGAGAACTCCCTCCTAAGGCAGTGACCAGGAGTCTTCCAACCATGGATGAGATGTGGCCCATGGAGATTCCCCATCTGGCTCATAGTTTCTTTTGCAATTGACTGATTAGAGATGAAACATAAGTGGTTGGGAATAAGAGACTATTTAACGTCTGCATTCTAAACTCTTCAGGATATTGAAAGGGCTGTAGCAAAGAGATTTGTTCAGACAGTTGCAGATAACTCCCCCCTTTTTTGAAATGTGCCCCCACCAAGTCACTGTGGATGCTGAGATAATGTTAATTTAACTCACTCATGTTTGGGCTTCCTTTGGCAGAGAGCATTGGACAATATGATGGATGTAGAATTTCAGCTGCGCCTTTCTTTCTTCGATGCTGCCTATTGTCATTTCTTTGGGAAGATGTGGAGTAGTGCCCCAAAGCCCCTCAGAACTGCACCAGGGCATCCTCCTGCTGTGGTCTTTGGTGAGGTAAGGAAGACATGCTCTGAGTAATGTCTCTAGTACATGGAGCAAAGAAGAGTCCTGAGCAGTTCAGTGAGCTGGGTACCTACCCGGAAAGGTTCCCCCCTGTGTGTCCCAGAAGAAGAGCCAGCCTGTGTAAGCTTTGGCAAGCTGCCCAGTCCTAAGATGCCCCCAATAGGAGACAATGGTAAACTGCTTTTTAGTACCCTGTATCTAGAAAGCCCTGAAAAGAGTATCCTGAAGTTGGAACCAATGTGTTGACAAGGAATTGTTATTATTAAAGTGACAAAAGGCATGAAAATATGTAAGCAGTTCATGACATCTGTAAAGAAAATGAAAAGTGTATGCTTGTTTTGTAGTATATGGGTGTGAGCCACCTACGTTGCCTCCTCCATCACAACACCAGGGATTGCTGAAACACAACTGTTCGTTTAAGTTTAGCTAATGTTAACAGGATGAGCAACTGGGCTGAATTTCACTAAGCTTCAATGGAGCACCTACAGGTAACTACAAGTTCTGCACTTGACTAGTCCTCAGGAGGTGTCTGGGGCAGGTAGAAAGAATCTCCTCTCCCCTACCGCAGGACCCCATGTACGTAAGTGGGAGAGGCAGTGAGTGCCACAACAAAGGGACTGTATAGAGATGGACAGTGGGCTTCACCGGTGGAAGTTTGCTGTCTTCACCCTGGCATAGTGAGCAGGCCTAATGTGCCTTTCATGTGGGCATAAGCAGTGATGGCATCAGCAGTGTATCCTCATTCCAAGCTGAGCTGGACTTGACTAGTATGTGTGTGTGTGTGTGTGTGTGTGTGTGTGTGTGTGTGTGTAAAAACAGCCCTGGAGGCCTTGACTCAATGGGTTGGCCAGAGACTATGGCATGGCGTTCCCTGCTGGGCCCAGGTTGTGGGGTTCTGTCACATTCACACCTGCAGTGTCTCTGGGGTTTACTCTGATGCCTGCCTCAGTGAGCATTATGGACCCTTTGCTGGTCCCAGTGTACTTGTGCAGCTTTGTCAGGTGGCACATGACAATTGACCTACTTGCCAGTTCATGGTTCCTGTTGCTTGAGTGACTCCCAGTCCTCTGATCCACGGTCTCAGTTATCCTCCACAGTCTCTTCTCTGCAAACCTCCCAATCCTGCACATCTGCCCACAGGTATTCCCATTCTGAGTTTGATTCTGCCTCTCCCAGGGTGACTGCACCCTTGGCCATCTCCATGGCACCCCCTAGTGTCCTGCTGGCACCTTCATCAGCCCCCCAATCTATGGGTGAAGTTGCTCCTGCTGGTGGCTTGCTTTGCTCAAGGATACCCAATGTAGAGGGCATTGAAATCTAGAGGTGAATATTAGGAAACTCGAACAGGTTTGTCCAGGAGACCCACGCAGAAATCAAAGTAGGTCCCCATGTTCCAAGTACACGATCAAATACTGTGGAATTTGCTGCGGGTGTAAAATAAATGAATTCCTTTTCCTTTTTAACTGATCCATGGCATAAAGGCCCATTTGAATCAGTCTGGCTCTTTTTGCCCCCCCACCCCAGTGCTGCTAGAGGTTTCTACTTTTTTGAAGCCAGAACAATTAGAATGGATTTTTCCCTTTGTGATCAATTGTTTCATTCTCCAAAGGATGGGTGTGTGTGATTATGGGTGGCATTTGGGTGAAGTTCTGTGCTGGGCATGATGGTTTGAACAGTGGAAATCCCACCACTGTGGTCTTTTTTCCTAGTCTCTCTGAAGTATTGCTTAAAAAAGAAACAACTACTGAGTTTAGTGCTGGATCACCTAGTTTAGCGCTATATTACCTCTGCATGAACAAAGCAAAGATGGAACATTAATATGAAATAGCAACAACTCTGACAGCAAACTACAATGGATGTGGACGTGGAAGAACAGCATGACAGACAGAGGAGGAGAATGCTGAAGAGAGAACACACCTAGTGGAGGAAGCACAGTGGAACAGGGTCACAGTTAGGAACTGCAAAACCGCTTCCAGATTCTTGAAGAGGAGACATCGTGAAGAAGAAAGCATACAGGAGACTCCACAGGAGGACATGAGAGAGGCTGAAATTCAGCAAAACAGAGTAGTTAAACTCACACCCTGCAAAAAGAAGATTTGTTGTAGTAGGTGACTCCCTGTTGTGGGGGATTAGAACTGAAATATGCTGGGAAGATCCATGGACCCACCCAGTATGCTGTCTCCCTACAGGACAGACTAGGGATGTGATGGAAGATTGCACCACCCATAAAACCTACGGAGGCATACCGCTTCTCATAGATGTAAGACTGGATGAAACAACCAAGAGGAGCCGTGAAGAAATCACATCAGGCTAAGAAGTGCTGGGAAGGAAACTCTAGGACTCTGAGGTCCAGAGAGTCTTCTTATATCCATCCTAGAAGTACTCAGAAGAGGAATAGAAAGGGAAAGAAAAATACTCTGGGACAACAACTGGCTGCAAAAGTAGTGCATGGGGTGAGCTTCCAGGAAGATGGACCGTTGTCAAGTGGTGGGTGGCAGCTCACAAAAACTTGGAAGAATATATTTGGCCACAGCATGAAGAACTTCATCAGGAGGGCTTTAAACTATATTGGAAGAGGGAGGGAAATGAAAACTTGGAGGAAAAGACAGATGAAGGCTTATGTACAGTAAGAAGAACAGAGCAAGGACCTCTAATGGGGTCCATTAATAATCTTAATAGAAATGTAGATAACAAAACAGGCTGCAAATCGCTCAGTCTCCAGTGTCTATATACAAATGACAGGGATATGGGAAACAAATAACTCAAAATGTTATTTCAGTAGAGAAAATATGACTTGACTGGAGTAACTGAAACTTGGTGGGATGACTCCAAAGGAATGGAATACAGCAATTGAAGGTTATAAATCTTTCACACACACCCGAAAGAATAGAAAGGGATACACATACCTGTGTGGAAATGGAGGAGGATGAGCTCAGTTGTCCCATCGATTGCATCTGGATTAATATAATTGGGGCAAAAAAGAAAAGGAACATGGTGGTTAGAGTCTGTTATTTGACTGCCGAATTGGATGAAACCTTTGAAAAACAGATGGCAATAATTTCAAGGAGATGGTATGTAGTAATAATGGGAGATTTCAGTTATCCTGGTATCATTTGGGAGAAGCATTCTGTCAAATATGGACCTTCCAAGAAATTCCTCCATTGTGTAGCTGATAATTTTCTCTTACTAAAAATGGAGGAAGAAAGCAGAGGAGTAGGATTCATCGAGGTGGCTTCACAAATAAAGGTCAGAGAGGACCTGAAAAAAGGACACTTACAGGAAATGGAAGGAAGGCCAAACCACAAAGCAAGAATACCGACAAGTAGCAAAGAATTGCAGAGATGGCATTAGGAAGACAGTAGCTGAGAATGAACTAAGGTTAGCAAAAGATGCTAAAAGCAACAAAAGAGCAGGTACATGAATACCAAAACAAGAATACCGACAAGTAGCAAAGAATTGCAGAGATGGCATTAGGAAGACAGTAGCTGAGAATGAACTAAGGTTAGCAAAAGATGCTAAAAGCAACAAAAGAGCAGGTACATGAATACCAAAAGACAGGGAAAAGAACTAGGGGCTCAGCTAGTCAGCATGGATGGAAAAATGACAAAGAAAAATTCCTACTGCAGCTCCATCTTTTCAAAAAATGTAGTCTTTGATCCTCTATGCAGATGTGTACAAAGGGAGAGTACAGGATTGCAGCTTCAGACTGACAAATAGTCAAAGAGTACCTTACTACTTTAAATGTGTTTAGATCTTTGGGGCCAGATGAACTGCATCCAAGGATATTGACGGAACTAGCTGAAGAGATTTCACAACTGTCTATTATTTTCTTGAAAACATGGAGGTTGATGAAGTGCTAGATAATTGGAGGAGGGCTAAAGTTTTCCTTGTCTTCCAAAAGGGGGAATCTGGGAACTCCAGACCAATCAGCCTGACAAAAATCCCAGGGAAAATTCTGGAGCAGATTATATTTTGCACTGGTTAGGCCTCATGTACTGCATTCTGGACATCATGCTTTAAGAAAGATGCTTTAACAAACTGCAGCAAGTATAAGGAGGGTAACAGTGAGGAAGGCCTTATGAGGAAAGACTGAAAGAATTGGGCATGCTTAGCCTTCAATGAAGATGATTGAGGGGAGATATAATAGAACTTTTTAAATACTTGAGAGGTAGTCATACAGAGGAGGAGCAGAGTCTGTTCTTAATTGTCCCAGAGTGCTGGACATGTAATAGTGGGCTCAAGTTACGGGAAGCCAGACTTCAGCTGAATATAAGGAAAAACTACTGTTAGAGCAGTATAGCAATAGAGTCTGTTCAGCTTCGTTCTGTTTTCAGTCCATGCAGTGGCTCCAGGGAACCTAGAGTGGCCTGTTTGTGCCTTCACAGCTGGCAAGAGGTTTGTTCATTCATGGTCAGGGTGCTTGGATCTGCAGCTGGGGCTGCTCTTGAGGTATTCACATTATGTTTGACAAATAATGCACTAGGTACTGGTATCAGTTATTAATAATTGGAATTAAATGGAGATATGGGGCATGTTTGCTGTGTTTAGTTAGAGAAGGGTCTCCTGCTATGAATCATTTGCTGACCTTTACATGTGAAATTGTGCCACCTAACTGTAACCTTATTCTGGTGGATGATGTTCATTTCTCAGTGTAAAAAAGTTTTTCTTCCCTTACAGTTTTTTTCATGGGCCAAGAACATTAGATATGTACTCAACCTGTTGGAAATGAGAGGTCATTCCCATTTGTATTATCAGTGCCCATACAAAGAGGACTTACCCCCATTTCCATTTTAAGCCTCTTGGCAATAAAACTGTAAGGGAAGAAGCACTTGTATCCATCTATATAGTTTTGCGCTTTTCAGACACTGGGGAACTTCAGCGCCAGACCCACATATGGGTGCTGTGACTTGAAGAATACTGGCACTGAGGTCATTGGATCCCTCAAAAGTGTAAAACTAGGTAGATTTATTTGACATCAGCTGTATGTAACT